TAAATAATATGGCACAACTTTTCTATTAACAGTACATCGTATTTTCATCCAACATAAAAAAACTAAATTGTTACAGACGTCTTCTACAATAAAACACAAACTTACAATGTTAGTAAACTTACATTTCAATTCACTAGCACTATTTATTTAAATTTTATCTTACGAAAGAACCCAAGTAACAAATGATATATAAACGTTTTCATCAAATTTCTACCGTCTCTTACCAAGATTTATACTTTATTAAAGAATGCCACCGCAAAGATAAAGCGAAGAAAAGTTTCTTGTGAAGTTTATGTAATAGACGGAAAACCTTTGGCTGAAGATCCTAATGTGTTTGTCTCACAGTGAATACCATTGACTCATTGCGATTTAAAAATTACTCCAAATCCTGGACACTCTTAAGACGCTATCTACCGTGAAATCCCGGTGAGCTAGTCCGAAATCGGCGAGGTATGCTGGCCGCGGGACGTGCCATAACGCTTTAATTGTCTTTCGGTTATGTTAATACGTCGACAATTTCATCAGTGGCATGAGCGTATCTAATGGATCTGCGGATAATTGGAAAGGAGGGGTCGTTGGGGTTCCAGGGAGGTAACGGACCGATGACAATGCCATAACGCAAGAGGGTTTTCGCGTAACGATTCTCTACCATGGACGAGCTCTCCCTCTGCTGAATGTGTCCCCGCCAATGTTCACTGTTGATTTATAGTACTCTGAACATATGAGTTCAGTCATACATATACGTATTTCGAGCTGACTGTTATTATTAATTAAATATAAATGAGTTCATATGTTTCTCTTTACCGGAACGTATTATAATATTTATATTATTCATTGTTCCAGATTGAAAAGAAATATCAGGATAATACCCCTAGGATATTTTGAAAAATCTTAATCTGATTTTCTCTAAATATTGTACGTAGCAATTTAATGCTGGCACTTATGTAGTCCGATTAAAGCGTTCTTATTCTACTTCAAAAAGCTTTGAAACCGTTGTAATATTTTTTCCTAGAATGTATTTAATCATATATTATTATACGCTAAACTTTTGTTTGAAGAAGGGTCCACAGAGAGCATTTAGTCGTGAGAACCTGCTTAATAGATATTAGTCCCTAAGAAACAGGAAGGAAATAAGCGAATCAAGCCTTGCACTGTACACATGATTCTCAAAATAAAGTCACGCTCTTTTTTCTCCTTTCCCACGAACTGTATTAGATGATTCATATAACTAGGGCGGTCCATAGCTCTCGTCTAAGTGAAGGAGCAAAAAATGGGAGGAACATTGTGTGGAGCAGTCACACACTGACTTCTTTAGCTCTTACATTTTTTCGTCTGACGTACTCATCCGCCATAATTATATTCCTCTCCAAGAATTTCCTACTTACAATTAATCTCATTCTTCTTTTATACAATTTAAAGCGATTAATTGTTAAAATTAATCAATTAATGATTAAGGTCGGCATGATTAAGTTAAGCTTTGATAGGGAATGTGTATCTTTGCAATTCATTTCGTAACGTTAGTCAATAGAGTTACTGTTCTTTGTGCCGTGATATTTGTATGACAATTATTATAACACATTTTCTCCTATATAAGTACATTTTTAATAAACGTCGTGAAACGCTGACCCTTGAACACTTGATTGAATAACCGAACGATTCCATAATCTATTCACACACAATACTTGAAAAACAAAGAAGAAACCAAGCATCCAAGGAAACTACCATTGCACACATCCTGTTTTCTTCCCAGCTAAACAATAACAACAAAACTCCAATTTCCCATAATATTAAACTACCATTAAGACCGGTGGCATAGTCGTGCAATCCAACGGAACCATTAAACGCTTTATTTTCCCATGCAAAGGCAACATTAGACCTAACCGAAGCCTCAGGCCCCAATCCATTAGCTCCACAATTATACAGTTAATTCCGCTGTAGCGATGCCATTACCATGGACTAGCGACGAAAGAAAAAGAGCTTAATATCCTCACGCACGGTAGTAACTACCGAGCACGGTCCCAAGAATCCAGAGCGCGTCGTTCATTTTCCCAGCGATATCGCGAGCGAGCGCCACGCCAGCCATGTCGAAGCGCGTGCACGCGAGCCGGCTCGCGGACGTGTCGCGTGGCGTTGCATCGGTTGCCCCGGCATCCGCGTACGCGCACTCGAATGCGCGAAACCGAACGCGGCCGTCCCCCCTTCACTGCTGTGTGCGTACGTGGTGGCCGCTCACGCGTGCAGGAGGACTAGGCCCGGCGCGGAGCGGCCAGACCGCAATCCAACCGACGTACAACATGTTTATGTATCGCAGGCAACATTAACATTGCAATTTATGCGCGCTTTAACTGCCCCGCAGCCCTTCCAGCCGGCCTTCGTCCTCTCCACGAGCGGCTGGCCCGCTTAACACGACCGCGAATTTATCAACGCGGTTCGACGCACAAGTTCACTCACCGCAGGAGGGCCGACATCTCTTTCCTCCTCCCCTCTGCTGCGACTCGCCGTCGCTCTAGCTTTCGTCGGCTCCCGACACTATTTATATTTCGTCGATCATTACTTATTGTTTCCGGCTGCCACCCGCAACACCAACTTCCGAGCCCCGCGGGCTTATTAAATTCCGCGACGACGCGTTTGATGCTCCGAAACGGGACACCGGCTTTCGGCAGACGGGTCTGGGTTAGGTATGCCTTTTCGCGGGTTTGAGTTGGCACACGCTTCGCGGCCGGATTTGCGCGCTTTGAATATGTATTTAGAGAGATGGCTCGGCTCAAGGGTGCACAAGGGAGTGGATACGAGGGTCATTGCGGATTTGAGGCCGCCGACGTGATGGAATCTCTGTTACTTGCTGCGACCCCTTTCGACATAATTGTCGCGTGCCTCGTTTTTGATTTTGAGTGGATTGTCTGCGGTTGTGAAGTATCGTTTAATGAAATATATGAATATTATTGTGTTGACGTAATTAATATCGTTTGTGCTTTTTTCTCTTTTGCGAATTTATAATAAACTTATATTCGGCTCGTTGTCGCTTTCATATTTTTGTGGCAAACTTGCAGGAAATGTGCTTATACCGCATTGAGACATTTAAGTTAGGAATATTATTATTATTGTTTTGCAATAATATCTGTCGAATCGTTTATCGGTCAAGTGAAATTTAGAAATTATATATTATTTAAATATGTTAACGATTTGTAATTTTGTAGGTTTAATAATATAGGTAAACGAACGTAAAGCAGAAATGTAACTGAATTTTTAGATTCTGTGTCATCATGTTAGAAAAAGTATAAAATTTTAAATGTAGTTATATTTTAAGCAGCGAAACTGAAAAGTAAACAGAAAGCAGGATATTCTACTGAAAATCTTTCTTTGGCATATACACAAAATTTAAGAAAAAAAATATTTCTATCACAATTCTAAAATTATTTGAATTGTTCCCATTTTCATTAACGTTAGAGAAATACTTCTACCGTTAGTTGCGTATCAGTAATCCGACACATATTTAACCAATGCTTCCTTTCTAAAATTACGCGAAACGCAGAGTTGAATGAACGAATACAGAATTAAGCAAACTTAACTAACCTCCCGATTACAGGAAATAGAGATACGGTTCAGCTTCATACATGACAACACGAAGATTACACAACAGTATCAAATCCTCGTTCCATCACGGAAATCACAGAGCGATTATTATCCGGTCCGATTATCATTAACCAAAGCGATGCGATAAATTTGAATTCCAGTTGGGTTCACGCCGCGCTCCATCAGGGGTCTAACAAAAACGTTTCGAGTCCCTCCCCGCCCAGTCCATTAAACATTCCGCCGCCTCGCCGGCGGATTTATTTCTTTCTAAAACTGTTATGTATATATCCCGTTGGTACATAGACCCCGTAGCCATGTAACCAGACCGAAACAGCGCAACCCCATCCATCTTTCGGGTTCCACGGAGTTCGCGTAGGGGGTGCGAAATACGTTTCGCAGACGTCCGGGGTTCGAGGTCGATTTCACGAACGAGTACCTGAGAGCCTTTCCCGGCCGGCAGAACTCTTACCGGATACTTTGCAAGTTTCTCGGCCTGTTTACCTGACACGAGGGCGACTCTACGCGCGCCCTGGTATCTGAAGTCAATGGGATGGAAAGCGACCCGAAGTAGAAATCGAGTAGAAGGCCCGGTGGTTTAATGCGTGGCAACCCGCTACAAGGACCCAAGGCGCCGGGATTCCACCGTGGTTTTTATCGGCCGCCCCAAACGGGGAGAGGCTTGTTACCACCGCGAGAATTATGGTCTCGGGTGTAAACACGTATCCCGTCTGGCTTGTATGTACCTACAAATGCCAGGTCCCGATCCCTTGTATCATCGATGAGAAACTCCGAGCGAATCTGTCTATAGACTGTTCAGCGAGACGAGTCAAAGCAAATAAAAGAAAATATTAGCGGTCTTTATATATTAATCCTTTGAGGACAAATATCGTCGCATTGACACCAGATTCTGATAGTCAGAATAGCAGAATGCAAACAAATAATTTAGTTGTTCAAACTACTGAAAATCATCGTCTACAAAGGGTTGATTATTCGATGAACGTGAATTTCACAGCATACTAACTAAATAATTGTATTCGTTACAACTTTATTTTGAATTTGACTGATAAAGAATTAATGCATACTTTTGTTGTCTTATTGTAAGTAATTTCGTATGTTTTTTGCTATGCGACATGCAAAAGGATAAAAATATTTAATATCTGGACTTTTACGGGAAAAGTTCAGCGACCCTTCGTTTAGAAAGACGGAGCACGGAATAACGAAAGTCCAAATAAATGTCGTTCCACTGGGATTTACGGTAGTATATTGAGATCGACAGTTTTCCGATCTATCTTCATTCATTTTTCCTGAAACGACGTCTGGCGGTCAATTAAGCTTAATTGAGAATGGAAAGACTGTCGGTGCGGAATGCCTGAATATTTGAACGGGACAGTCGAGTGTCGTTCGAAGGTATCGTCGAGAGTACTCACATATGTCTATAGACAGTCCTTCGTAGGTGCAGAGGATCAGTAGGTAAAAGATGAGGCACGTCTGCAGGTAGTCCATGGTGGCGTTGATGGATGGTTGGCTAGCCAGTGGTCATCGAACTCTCATAACCGCTTCTGTAAGAAAAACCAATAAATGGTTGTTTAAACTAGACAATAATCTGATAATGAGAAAAGACAAAATCGTGCAAACCGATTCAATGCTTCATAATCTAGGAATACTTAAATAATCTTATACAACTATGCATTACTTACAAACAAGGTTTCTACATAATAACACGTTCGGTTGTTACTAAAATTTCATTCTTCTCTCCTAGAAGCAGTGTAGTATTTTTAATTTTACGTCTGGAAGGCGCAGCTTCGTTGATAACTATCATTTGAGCGTGTTAGTCGTCAAACATCAATAAGTAAAAACAGGGATACATTATTAAATGATAAACTTATTGAAGCAATTGTTGAAACACAATGTATGCAACGGAAGTATTAATAAACACATATCTAATATGCACATGAGGTGACACGTATCTTATATCATCAGTGTAACGCGTGCTAGTTGAGCAGAGTTGTCAACAAGTATTGTGGTTATCGCGAATTAAGACCCGGTCATTTAAGCATACCGATCGCGGGCTACGCCCCAAACAACATCCTTGTAAGATCGTTCAGTTTACTGCCTAAGGAGGAAAGGGAAGCAATTAAACGTAAGTTCCACGGAAGGAATGGGATGAGGGTACGTAGAACGAAGGGGCCAGGATGAACGTAGAAAAACAGACTGAAAACGGCCGTTTCGGTCCGGCCGTGCTTTTCGCCGGTGTGAAATGGCGCGGCTCTTGTACCGGACAGATATACGACCGGTACAGCAGCCACGGACAAAGAGCTACATTCACGCCAGCAACCATTACGCGTCATTATCGAGATTAGGATCGGGAGTTCGGACTGGTAAGGTAGGAAAGAGAGGGAGAAAGAAAGAGAGCGAAGAAGAGCACAGATAATCGTAAAGAGGGAGAAAGAAAGAAGGGAACAGAGAACGCCACGGGGACTTTCGGCTGGCTGTTCTTCTCTCGGGCGAGGGGGCGAGCTCGCGTGTAGCGGATGCTGATGGCGCAGGGAGGGTGGGTCACGCGGGAGAAAGAGGGACTGTACTTTATTCACGGTGGTGCCGTCGTGGCGCGCACCGTAGAAAAAAGCAAGGAACGGTTTCGGGGGCAGAGGGAGCATAGGCGAGGCCTTCACTTTTTGGCTAATTAACGGGAGTTTCTTCGACTACCGACTACTTCGCGATGCTTATCTGGCGAAGTTAGGGGCCCCTCGCGCGTACCTCGTTATTCAACCAGCCATGAGCGAGCCAGAAAAAAAATATTCCCGGACCGATGACGCGTCTCTTCCCCGGACCCTGCATATATCGGACTGCCATCGCGATGAACCAAGCGCCTCGCCGGCTGAATTCCAAACGATGCTTTCGAATATCGTCCGCGGCTCGAAGAAAACGGAGGATTTTAATGAAGTTGTCCTGGAGATCAGGGAGATCTCGGTGTCCGGTACCTGGTAGGTATTCTACTTATACAGCGAATGGGGAAATTCCATCGGGCCCCTGTGAATGAGTCCGCGACAGCTCCATGGAGCCACCTGAATCGATTAAGTGGCTGAATCGGATTATCCGACCGGCAATTAAGATACCATTCAGCATGAAGTGGTTGCGTCGGTACCGGTGTCTGGCATAGCGCGATCACAATGCCGGGAATCGATTAGCCGACACAGTAATTAAGGTCATAGGGTGCATCCGAGCTTGAGTTACTCCGGGTCGGGGCGGCGGACCGTGTCGGCGACGCGGAGTCGTTCCCGGACTGCTTGGATTCGTCGTGACGCGTGATTAATCACTGGTCACGGATCGCGTGGATCGCGCTAGAATGCGAACGCTGATAAACGATGAGGGATTCGATCGTTTAATTACGAGACCTTTTATGCTCACTAATGATAGAAGCAGTCTTACGCCCATCGCAGAGCTTAGAAGCTAAACTATTAAATATCGGTTTTCATGTAGAATTTTTTCTATAACAGATACTGAAAAGCCACAAGCACATGTCGTGTTAAATAAGATAATTTAATGTACAAATTAAAATATAAGTGAACCGAGATCTCAATAAGAGAAAATACAATATAGTCGGTTTAACTGATCAATATTTCTAGCGTTAATAAAGATTCGGAACTACAAAGCACAGGTACAAAAACAAAACGCACGCGGTCGAGCGTAAGTACGCGCATAGGAAGGGGACTGTCGAAAAACCAGAGAAAATATCAAAAAGACGCTGGAAGACGCCAACAGTGACGATAGACGTGAGCTTAAAGAACAATTTGATAACTATGTGTACAGACTCCAACAGTAACATCGATCCTCTGTCCGATTACCGATGTCTGCAGCAGGTTTGCGGTCATTAGGACGGGCGGAGAGAAAACCTTTTCCGAGACATTTCTCGCCCCGGTACTGTAATTCAGGCGAAGGTAACTCGGCTCCTGGAATTCCTGCGGGGTTCCCGTAGTGCTCTATATAAATTTCGATCGCGGATCTATATCTAGACCGATAGAGGCCGACTGGAACTAGGAGTGGGTTTATAGTTTGCTACTGGAAACGGACTACGGTTCGCGCTATTTCCAGCATTGGCGCCGACGTAACGTCTCCTGTAAATCTCCCCTCGCGATACGGCCTGGGAACGAAGAAATCACGTGGATTTAGTGGCCCGTTTGTTCTTAGGTTCGTACGATACGCACACTGCCATCTTTCATCCGCTGAAACACCACCTTCGCCCGCCGACTTTTACCGAGACGGCTACATAAAGTGCCCTTGTACCCTGCTGTGGACGCTCGATTTCTACGGTGTTCGCCTTTTCCTTCCCTTTAAAGAACTCATCCTTTAACTGTGCAGTTTCATTTCTGACGCGTTCGACGTACTAATACGCTACGCCGCTGGCGATAAAGAGCTAGTATGAAATAAATCGTGACGTAAAAGTGGAACAACACTGCGGAACAGAGATAAGCAGTAATAAAAGAATATGGAAAACTGACGTTCGTCGATTTTTAACACGATTTCCAATGTTTGGGATTAAGAAGATACTACGTCAATTATCTTAGACATTACTGGAGCAGGAAGTTCGTTACATTTGAAAAAATTGTACTTTTTTAATAAGGAATTTAAACATGTGAAGTCTAGCTAAAATTGATAAATACTTGCTCACAAACATGTGCGAAAATTGATGTAAAAGTAAGGACTACGTTTTAAATGTTTTAAGAAAGTCGGTAATTGTCAATTCGGTACGTTCTCTTGTAGGATATTAGGTACCAATTATAGACAAGTTAATTTCAGGAAGTATCACTGGGTACATTTACTATCAACTTTACGCGCGTTGAACTTAATAAATTCAGTTTTATACTCGTACTACTGATCACAAGCGTGAAAGCACGTGTTTCTTGCATAATGATATAGGAACTCATAATATCTGTAAACCAGAACGTGAATTAACCAATATGGGTTTGTATTTTATTGCATAAGTTGTTTTAAGCGACTCAAGCTATGAAAAATATTATTTGATAGAATCTACCGGTTATATAAACTACCTACATGCGATTGGTATACAGTAGTTCTGCATGTATTTATAGTTGCTGAGACTTTTCAAAAACTAATGAAATGGTAATTCGAATGAACATTTATTTTTGTCTGTAATATTCCTGGGTCCTATTAAATCGGTGGATGAAAAAAAAATTCTACTTTATCATAGTTCAATTATTAGTTGTAAAATATTAATTTTTGAATATGTATACAAATTAATACAATTTCTTTATCGTAATGTTTGATCTAACTGCGTATATTACCCGATCAAACGGTAAACTCATCAATGTGAAGAAAAGTAAATAATAAGATTTCAAAAACACCATGAAATAGCAGTGTCGTTTAAACGAATTCAATGGAAGGAGTAATGATCAATTTAATCGTATCACGATATTTGCATGCCATAGGTCGAATGTTCTCAAGCAGCCGCGTTGAATGCGCAAGTTTCGCCCCCGTCCCTAATTTAGACGCAATTAAAATGAAACAAGTTCTTCTGGTGCCGAGAACGTTTGCACGGTCGTTTTATAGAAGAGCCGCGATTTTCTTGAAAAGACACGTTCCCGTAATGGAGGCCGGGGTAGGGAAAGCACAGTACTCGCATACAGGCATACAAACGAATGTACACCGTTGCATACACCCCACACTACCGGCGTTTCTGGATCGTTAACCGGAGCTCGTCGAGAAACTCTCGAGCGCAGGCGAAAAATTTGTATCCAAACTAGTTTCCCGGCACCCTCGAGTGCCTCGGCTCCCGTGAAAAATATAGCGGTACCCGGCATCGATAAATCCTGCCAGGACGGATCAGACGCCGCAAGTTTTTTCAATATGTAATTCTCAGCGAGCTGGAAAACCGTTGCGCGATAATTTTCCCGTTGAACGCGAAAGCACAAGGGGAAGTATTATCCTGCTTTCACCGGAACCGCTAATGCCAATGAACTCTCGTACGAGTAGCTTTCATTCGATCACAGAATTCTAAACTCCTCTGAAAATTTCTTCCGGGGGCTCCGTGAATCTCGAGCCGCCGTGAAATAGTAAACAGTTTTACGAGCCGGGAATAACTAATTTGAACTCTGGACAGGTGAAACACGCCGTTTCCGCAGCAGGAAAACGCTCCGGTTCCCAGCCGGAGGGATTTACGGTGCCGCTGGAAAGAATTAGTCGCGCGTGGCGCTCTTTGAGCGACCGTTCCCATCGTGCGGCCGCATAAATTTGCGCGCGAGTTCGCGGAAAGACGGGGCTAGGTGACGAGCGCGTGCGCACGGTACGCGCGCCGCGTCGCACCACGCCGCGCGGTCCTCCAGCGCCCAGGCAAATTAAAACTCGACGAAGTCGTCCTCCCGTAATTGCCGGGGCGCGCCGCGACTTATTTTCGTAGACCCTCTCGTGACAAGGCCGACGCCGACGCCGACGCCGACTCCGACTCCGGCGGCCAGAGAGAATTCGCGACGCGGGTGGGTCCGCGCACCGTCTCTTTAATACTCGAACGCCATGGCGGAAGGTGGAAACACGTGTGCGCGCG